TTGCCGGATCGTTCGTTTTGTTGACGCTTTGGGATCCAATTTCGGCCACGCGTCGCTCGTTGATCTTTTTGGGAGTTACAAGCACAATCTCTTCAAAGGCGAAGTATGACCATGAGAAAAGGTTAGTGCAAAACGTATGGCATAACCCGAAAAGGTTTTATGCATATGTGCAGGCAAACAAAAATCCTACGGATGGAGCAGGTACACTGCAGGTAACGGAAGGCGTTAAGGCCACCATCGATCGGAAAAAGCCTTCTCTTACTCGTCAGTGAACATAAACTCTCTCTGTATTATCTGTGTCCTATTTGGCGTAATCCACCGTCAGCTATAGTACACGTCTTCCGTTATAAAAAAGTAACTGATGATGTGGAATCGACAACCCTTTGTGAATATCTTCTCAAACTACAGCACGTAAATTAGCCACCTCGACTAGAATTATTTACTTCTAGTATATACTTCTTGAATTATTGTGACCTCTTCCTCTGTAAACCAAATGCTTCTAATATCGTATTTATTTGGTTCAATTGCCTCAATTCCGTGGTACCTGCTAACCAGGCAGCTGTGCTCAATTTTAAACCCATTTCGTATCAGTACAAGGATTCAACTTCAAAGTTGGATTTGTGGAACACAAATAATTCCTCTACATGTTTATAAACGTATTGTGACCCAATAATCCCAACTCCAAATCCCTTGTGCGCCTTTCGTGTATGCACCCGCATCACCTTAGAGATTTTCGTCCTGTCAAGTCAATCCCACTGATACACCCCAGTCCATTTTCCCTCTGCATATTTATAAATACATAAATGTTTATATTTGTATATAGATATATATTCGTACACTTTCGGGCAATAAACCTTTCTGCATATTCGTTCGCTACATGCTGTTTCTTCCCTCCTGCCCTTTTCAGCTGGGTATTTTCCCAGACTGCCAAGTTTCCCCTTTTTCTTTCAGATTCGGTTGGCTTGGGCCTGCCGAAGGCTTGGGGTCTACACCCACAGTGGACAATCTGGCTCCGGCAATGGTTGTTGGGCGCGGTTGTATCCACCGTTTAGACTACATGCGTCCGCATTCCGGACCAGGTTGAGGATCGCACCCATTGCCTCACCTACACACACTGTGTATTATTATTAATATAATTAACCCCAAGACGCCCTCTAATCCCAAACCATACCGGAACGGTTTACTCGGCGATCCCCCCGTACCACTCTTCCCAACCGGGTTACTAACACTACAATCCTCCCTTTTCCGTGACGCACATCCCAGTGGGCAACAGGGATACCTAGCACACTCCCGTAGGGGATCGCAAACCTTCCCTTTTCTCCCCGTGTCCCATCCTACTCGTCCTCCCGACCTCTTCAACAAGTCAAGGCAATCACGCCGCAGACTTTTCCACAATTCGGACCGTGTCCGCAGCCCACTATTACAAACCAGATACCCAAATTAGAGCCCCTCCCAAAGATCCCTCCTCAAACCCTGCTACCACTGAAATCTCTCGTGAGTGGGCTCTGAAGTGCATCTCCACTAGCTGTCTCAGCATCTCGAACAAGATGCTGGAAGTCAAACGGTTAGTGGCCGATAAGGAACCCCATGTTTTAGCCCTCACAGAAACCTGGTTGACCCCGAAAAACAGCGATGGCGAAATATCCCTTGCAGGTTACTCATTGATCCGAAGAGACTCAATGAGAGGTCGAGCAGATGGTGTGATTCTCCACACGAGTGACCACCTCCCCCAAGCAATCACTTTATTACTCCGTCCCATCCCCTTCATAGACTGCCTTCGAGTCTAAATTCTCCTGTCCCGCTTTGATACAATGGTGCTAGGAGTATTCTACCGCTCACCCTCCTGTGGAGAGCTAGAGTCACAACTCCTGATAGATCAAATGAATGCGCCTTAATGCGCATCTTCTGATAACTGGAGACTCCAACGCTCCAGCAATAGATTGGCGCAGGCTTCACGCCCCGGATAATACATTTGGAAGGCTGTTAGTCAACATGGTCACAGAGCTGTCAGCACGTCAAAAGCCCAATGAAATTCAGCAATGGGCCAGCCCCTTCACTGTTAGACCTTGTCTTAACAGGTGATAGTCACCTCACAGACACAATTCAACGCCGATTGCCCTTTGGGCAAGAGTGATCATATTGTGTTGTCTTTCGATGTAATAGTCCACTGGCCCAGATGCCTTACACCGTGTATTAGGGAGGTTCGTTCTTTTAAAAGGACAAACTTCAACAACCCGAGGCATTTCCTCCAAGCCCATGCCCTACAAACCAATAAGATAAGTGACGTGGACATCTTGAGTAGCACAATAGAGCGGTGTATCCGCACAGCGAACCGTTTGCTGGTGCCGCGCGTCCGTAAATCCTCATCAAAAAGGCACCCCTTACCGCGTGCTATCCGTCATCTTTTAGAA